TGCTAAGGTTGAGAAACGCTGGAGTACAATATCAGATTGAGATGGGGATCAAAAGAGTAGAGCTGTTAGAGCAGTTAAATTGTGTCACAGGATAGTTTCCAAATAAAAGGCCTTTTAGAAACTCCCTTTATTCTACCCCAAAAGGGAGTTTCAGAAGTCTGCAGAGTTGGTTGCTTTCACTCTTGAGTAAGGATATTTTTGGAACAAGTTAACATTGCCGCTGATTCTTGAAGGACTAGGCCTTTGGATAAGGCATTTTAACAAATATTTTGTGGGTCCAAGCATATAATGTGTCCCGGATCCATGTTGTGGTATTTCTTCCATGGACAGCAGTCATTCAAGCAAATTTTTATTAATTATCCTAACTATAATTCCTCTGGCTGTATTGCAAAAAGGAATCTCTTTAACTAGCATAACCACAGATTGAGGCAGGGTGTGAGGATCAGGAGGTGGCTGGTTCTAGCCCCAGGGTGAGCATTTTCTAGTTAAAAGCAACAGTGCTTTGGACCTTAAGCTGCTCCCTGTATTCTGCACCCCAGATTGCTCTCTTAACCTCAGAATATTGGTATCGTTGAGAGTTTTTTTTTCTCTCCTTTAATTCTTGCATGTGGGCTTCTGCTGCACTTTCCTTCCCGCACTGCATGAGTGAATCTCAGTCAACGTAGTAGTATTTTACCAAGAAAAGAAATGTCTTACCCTTTCCAGCTCAAGACAGTTTTGCAAAGCCCTCATGAAGCCCCTCCTGTTCGGCGCAAGAAGCACTCAAGTCCTGCGACTGTAAGTCGCTTGTGGGGCAGGGGTGGGGAGGAGCACGATCCACTTTCGTCTGTCTGTCCCAACCCGCCTGGAGGAGGCAGGTTCCTCCTCGGCCTGTTGTCTTGTCGCACTGCTTTGAGAATTCTGTCCTTTCCCTTGTCTGTTTCTATGCATTTTTGCTTCTGACTTTCCTGTTCTGAGTCACTGGCCTTCCAACACCCTTCCGGAAGGGACCAGCTTTCGGCTTTTACAGCTGTAGTGTAATTCCTCACTTCATTTAGGAACATCTGTGCCCCTTAAGCATCAGGTACTTATAATAGTGTACCCTACATTTAAAAGTCCCTCATCTGTAAGTGATTGATTGATTAATTGGTTATGTGTCACCAAATCATTGTCGATCTTTAGTGACCGTGTCGATTTTCTCTCTGAAAAAAATCTGTAAGTAGCGTGGCAGAAATCTGTTCCCAGATATGTAACGGCATGATGCAGAGAGTGGCTTAGGTTCACTCAAGAGTTTGTGCTGCTACTGTCTTGCATGCTTTTTTCTCCCTTTTTAAATCTTCTGTGGTTTTTTTGGCATGGCCATGCCATATCACAATTTGCTTTTGCACTTTGCCAAAGTAGCTTGCTGTTGAACACAGGGGAAGGGTGGGCCCTGCTGTTTACAAAAATCAAGCCCAAAAAAATTTCCTTTAACTTTGTGGCACAACTGCGTGGCTGATAGATTCCTAGCCGAGCTCGCAAGAGATCCGAGGAAGAGATGGATGGTCTCTCCACCCTGAACAGGAAGAGTTATTTCTGCTATCAGCCTTGTCTGATGGTGAGGTTTTATTACAGAATTTGGTCCTTGCCCAATGGCTCTTTTCCCAGAAGTGAAAATGAGCGTTTTCCTGTGGAGCACCAGCACTTCCTTTCTCAGACGTAGTTGTGACAAATGCTGTCCTGTTGAAGATGCTGGAACATGTCATAGCAGAGCCATCCAATGTTTAACTTTTATTATTCTATGCTACATGATAACTCTACATCAATACCTTTTAAGAAAGCAACGAAACACATCCTGTAGTCAAGCATCTCATCTCCCTTTTTATTTGCAAGCCATAAAGCTGTCAGGGCTTGTGCTCTTACTGATTCCAGCTGCTTTTGGAAAGTTTCCCCCGTTCATCTCCCTCTTGTGACTGCCGCTTTGTGTCGATGGTGGGTCTCTTGTCTGATAGAGGCTGACGGTTGGCATGGCCTCATTGCCCTTTGTACTCGCTGTCTCTTGCAGAGCGTGAGCGGCCCCTCTCCCACAGGACCAGCTGGAGACCAAAGCGAGGTGGTCACCAGGATTGCTAATCTGGAGGCAGAGAACCAACACCTTCGTAGCGGTGAGTGGCCGTGCCTAATCGGCAAGCATATCTGCATGAGCGAGTTTTTTTCCATTCTCACTTGAACAAAGCCTGCGTGTTTCCTCTACGATTTGATTGTAGCTGATGCTGATACAATAAGTGGAGAGTTTGCTGTGGCATCCCATTCTTTAACGGCCTTTTTTCTTCCACATTTCCAGTGGTCACAGACCTCCAAGTGGCTATCTCCAAATTGGAGTGCCGTCTGAGTGTGCTGGAAAGGGCATCTGCTTCTTATCATCCCTCCCCACCTCCACCAACACAGGTAAAACTTGCTAAAAGAGTCTTCTGCTTGTTTTGCTCATTTGTAGGTTGAACACACTTTTGAAAATCCAAGGCCCATCCTTTCCAAGGCCTGAGCAATCTTCTTTACTTGTCTCAGATTGGGCAATTATGCTGGACCAGGGGCCATAGGTACACGATCCCACCACTAGGGAGAATGTTTCATGTCCCAGTGTAGTTGCCCTGACTCCGCTTTAGGAAAATGGTATTTGTCCTTACATTATAGCTGTCGCGTTGGAGCAGAGGCTGTGTAGTCCAAGCAGGTTGATTCATTCAACTGAGGACAATGCTGAGAGCAAAGGATCTCCCTTAGCAGTACTGTGGCCTCCTGAAATGGTAAAATGAATTTGCACGACCCTTCCCAATAAAATTAGGGTTATGGTTGGGCAAGAAATAATGCCACTACTTCACGTAAATAAAACCATGATAGAACCTTAAATTTCAATTGGAAATAAAGCCCAAACAAAAACCTCTGAAAAAAATTAAACCCATTATTTTTAAAGGGAAGGATGAGCTTGCTTGCTTCTGCATAACTCTTGAAATCTGAGCTTCATTTTAAGGCATCTACCTTCATTGTCCCAAGTCAGAAAAAAAGAAAAGAAAAGGATATTTCCTTGCTTTAAATCAGCCTCTCTGCAACTGCTGTGGTTTGTGAAACATCGGCACATTGTGAGATGTTTTAGACCAGTGCTTTTCAACCTTGGGAACGTTAAGATGTGTGGACTTCAACTCTCAGAATTCCCCAGCCAGCAGGGCTGGCTGGGGAATTCTGGGAATTGAAGTCCACACATCTTAACGTTCCCAAGGTTGAAAAGCACTGCTTTAGACATTCTCTCCCTCAGCACAGCCACACTGAAGTAAAGTCACAGCGCATCGTCTCTTCCAATAATAGACAACAGATGCAGCTCTGGGTTCAACTCTCGAGTTCTTGATTTCACTGACTTTGGTTGTCTTCCTGCAGACATTTCATGACCAGGCTAAATAACCTCATCAGTTCATGGAGAGTCAAGTTTGCTGGCTATAGACATGCCAGTCTTGATTGGGGTGATAATGTTACCCAGCCTAGTCATGAAACCTCTGCAGGAAAACAACCGAACTCTGAGAACACCAAGGACCTTCAACCTGGTACTTGTAACTCCTCCTGACTCTTGGTACTTTCTTTCCGGCTGCAGTGTCTCTCCCTTCCCCGCCATCCTAATTCCTCTGCAGAGTGCCGGATCCGATGATCAGAACTTTGCCTAGAGGCCCTGTGCTTTCCAGTCATCATGATTGTCTCTCCTTTTAAAGGCAAATATGATGTGTTAAAAGAACAAAAGGAATCCTCAGACTTCACGCAGTCTGCCTTGGATTTAGCAAACTTTAGCATTGAACTGATAAGCCTGGGAGGAGCTTTGGGGACCCTCCATCAGTTGTCTCCGGACCCCAGGGACATGGCCCATAGTTTGAGAAGGAAGGAAGCTGGAATAGAAGCTCTTAAAGCCCTCATTTAATTCCCTTGTTACCACATTTAAATAAAAGAAATGAGTCTTTTATTGCACAATGCTCAGCATAATTAATTATTCTAATCTAAAAAACACCCGCCTCCTGGTATGGACCATGAGGAAAAGCAGGAGATTCACAGAGCCCTTACGGGCTGACTGAAATGGTTAAAAAAAACCCTGCAGTTTTCATATTTCAAGAATTCTTAATCATGCAAGCTGGTTGGGGTGAAAGGGAAGAGGAGAAGAAATATAGCTGATTTTACAGCCATCTGTGCCCCAGCCCTGGTCTGATGGGGAATGTTCAGACATCCCAATTCTCATCAAGAGCAGTGTTGGGTTGGAGTGAAGCCCTCCCAAAACATTCAGGGAAGAAAAGGCCAGCCTTCACTTGTGAAAGTTCAGCTGTTAAAATGGAAGGAAGTGTGCAAGTGAAGGGACATAATAGCACGGTCCCCATTCTGTATTGAAGGATGCTGCCTGCTTGCATCCAGAAAGCAACCTCTGCTTTCAATTCACCTTGTTACTGATGCTCTGAGGAACAGGCTTCCATTCCCCTTGGGAGGGGCTTTCACAGTGAAGTTCACACTCTCATTTTCTCCACAAAGCATGTCACCCCCATGAAGAAAGTTGAACCGCTGGCCATGACATCAAGGAAAGTGACGCTCCCTTCAGCTGCACCTGCAACCAAAGAAGAATCCCCAGCTGGTGCCACCACTGCTGCTGCAGAGGAAGACGATGACATTGACCTGTTTGGCAGCGATGAAGATGAGGAAGACCAGGAAGCTGCCCGCCTCCGGGAAGAACGGCTAAAACAGTATGCAGAGAAGAAGTCCAAGAAGCCAGGCCTGATTGCCAAGTCCTCCATCCTTCTCGATGTCAAGCCGGTAAGTCCATCCATGGACGTCTCTTGGGCAGGTGGCCTGGTGGGCATTCCCATCACTTGGCAAAACCAGCCCAGGCTTCTCCCTCTGTGTTCTTCCTCAAGCAAACAAAGCCATGTGCATCTTGGGTTGGCCCTTTTGATGTGAGAGACAAGATTCAGTCTTCCAAGTTTTTGATCAGCTTTTCTCCCCTAAACAGTTGATGCAGGGTGGCTTGAAGTGCTGGGGGGGGGGGGGAGGCTTGCTAAAGGAGGTTTCCAGGTGTCTGTTATGGGGCTGGATTGCCCGATAAGATTCACTGGCTTTCTCTGTGGATGGTACAGTAGCAGAGATGAGCCTGCTTGCACACTTAGCACAGTTACAGCTGTTTAGGTTTATAACAGTGATTCCTGCCCAACATTTAACCTTTGCTTGCTATTGCAGCTTAACCAAGACCCAGGTTCCATCTTCACTCCTTCAGTGCATTGGACATTGTAGGAGGGAGCCATGCTAATCAACAATAGTCCCAAAAAATCAGGAGGAGTCTGGGAGCACCCTTTCCAATTAACAAATGCTATTAAAAAGCATAAACTTTTATGAACTGCAGCCTTTTGATTTGTTAGTCAGAAAAGGTGCTCCCAGATTCCTCCTGATTTATTGTTTATTTATTTATTAAATTTATATGCTGCCCATCTTCCCCAGAGGGTGACTTTTTAATTTTTCCTTTATTTTTTATTTTTTCACTGCATTTGAGATATTATTTCTGCTGTATCTGAGGGACCCTGGTGGTTCTTAATGGGGTGTGCAAAACATGTTGCAGTTCATAAAAGTTTATGCTTTTTAATAGCATTTGTTAATTGGAAAAGGTGCTCCCAGACTCCTCCTGATTTTTTGGGCCATTTTGGGGGGCGCTGCAACATTCTGCTTTGTTCCCAGACCAAACCGTCAGTGGGATAGTTTGAAGGCCTTCTTTTAGTCAATCTTCCAGAACGGGAAGTGGTTCAGAAATGCTTTGTGCCTGCCTATTAATGCTCTCTCGCTAAGTGGTTTGCCACCCTTTCAGCTTTTGGTAATTGCAGAAAGACGAGACACGTTTATACAGTAAAACTGCAATTTAATGGGTCTCCATTGAGCAGATTTTGGATGCAGCAGGCACAATTGTAGACAAGACACAGGAGGCTGAGTTGATTATACATAGCAGATGCTTGAAGGACGCATGTCCAAAAGAAGGCGAAGAAAGAAGGGGGCTGTTTCATTTAGCACAAAGGAGCTTGAAGATGGCTGGAGGACCTTAATTTCATGTGATTAGTAAATTGGTGATACATCAGACAACCACTTTCTTTGGAGAAGCAATCCTGCAGTATTTCCTCAATTTCAAGGGTGGGTTTTCAACTAATTTCCAGGAAATCCTTTACTTCAGTATACAAGCATGCCTTGCTTTATCTTGTTTGCTAGCTGCGGGTTTAACCTTTGGGGTCCATTTTTCTCACCCTCCCTTCCTCCTCCTCATTTTCAGTGGGATGATGAAACGGATATGGCTAAGATGGAGGAATGTGTCCGATCTGTTCAGATGGATGGCCTTGTCTGGGGGGCTTCAAAACTGGTCCCAGTGGGCTACGGCATCAAGAAACTCCAGATCCAGTGTGTGGTGGAGGATGACAAAGTTGGGACAGATATCCTGGAAGAGGAGATTACCAAATTTGAAGATTATGTAAGTTTTCTGGAGAGACCAGGCCTCCTTGTGGTGTATTTCTGTTTTATAGGCCACATCTAAGTTCTGCCAACACTAGTAAAAAGCCTTAGTTATAAGTTATAAATCAAGGAATTTTGGGGGGGGGCGCTTATGCAGAAAGTTCCCTTGTAGAGATCACCACCAGCAACCCTGGCATGCAGGTTCTCTCAGATGACATCTGATAATCTTTAGAGCAGGGGTTGGTAGCCTTCTTCCCCCTAGGGGCCAGAGGTCATGCTGCAGCCATCACTGTTTCCTCCTCCTCTTCCTCCTCCTCACAGCTTGTCACTCTCACAAGTGCTGGGTGGGGAACTTGTTGCTCTGCCTGTGTCGAGGTGGCTGGTCAAGTCACCGTTTCAAGAGCATCCATATGGACGGCAGTTCTCCCCCCTTCCTGTGCACAGGCTGGGTGGCTATATTTCTTTTTGGGACCGCAGGCCGGATGATTTCAGATGGTAGGCCACATCTGACCCGTGAGCTGTAGGTTGCCAACCCCTTCTCTAGAGAGATGCTGCAGCCAGAGGCATGTAACATCCCCTACCCTCAGATCTTTGAGAAACAGGGATTTCAGGGAGAAAGTTTCAGGTCACCTGAAAGATACTAGACCATACATTTAAAGAATATGCTTAAGTAGGTTTCTTGCGAATTTCATAGCTTTATGTGCTCAATAGACTAACCATGGCAAATTTTAGGTTTGGCTGGATTTTGGTGCTTTACTGTGTTCTGCCAGCCTGACTCCTTTTGTGAGTTCATGGTTCTCTGTATAATGAAATCCAAAGTAAAGGGGTTCAGTTACCCAACAGGGCATGTTGTGTAAATACAGGTTTTTATCCTGCAAATATTAGCACTTGCCTTGACATCGATGGCTGTCTCAGAAAATGCTTCACGCATTGAGCTCTGATCCCAGTGTTGCCCACTTGGTTCACACAACTCACTGAAGCCCTTATTGGTTACACTGTGGCTTATTAAGGCCTGCAACACGCTAAGTCCAAATCAGACCAGGTTTCGGCTTAGCGCAGTGTCTTCTCCTAGTCCCCGTGGTGGCCTGCAGCCCCAATTCCCTTCTACACACTCTTCTGGATGCCTGGATGAAATTACAGAGTCAGGCCTGGGATCTGCAGGCCTCACCGTGCAAACCTCCTCATTGCTTTTTTTTGTCTTTCAGGTGCAGAGTGTTGACATAGCTGCTTTCAACAAGATCTAACGGCAAACCTTTACCCTTTCTAAAGCTAATAAAAGGTTAAGAGTTGGAGAGCAATGCTGGGACCGTGTAGGGTTCTCTTTCCCTGTGGGTTGGAAAGCCCAAGATGGTGAAGCTTTGGCTGCATGTGAAGCCTCCCCTTCAGCAACGGCGCCTGAACGTAAATGCTCACTTCCAGAGGTCATTCGTTTCAGAAGCAGCATTTAAATTGGTCCCACTGCACCCAAACTGTTGCACCGCCAGGGACAGAAAAGAGCCATCCTTGGTCCTAAACAGGATTAGCCGGAGAAATTAAGTAGTGGGTTTTCCTGCTAGGATTTGTGATCACAGAAGGCACATATGTTCATACTTTAATTACATTTCAAAGGAAAATGGAACCCCTGCTAGTATCAGGCTAAGTCTCACCACCGTCATGTTCTCTTGCAGCATTTAAGAACAGACCATATCCAATGTGGAACTGGCCAGCCATCAGAGTCTCTTGAGCAACACTGGGGCTGGGGAATTCTGGGAGTTGGAGTCCACACATCAGAAAGCTGCCAAGGTTGAGAAACACTGACCTGGTGTTTTGAGTTGGATCCCTTTGTACCAGCTGGTGAAGGTCAGCATGCTCTCCGTTTCCCAACACAACTAATATACCACCATGAAATCTAACTCTGCACTCACAAGTATGCATGTATCCAATCTCTCAAAAATGCTCCAATAGGAACTATGGTAGATTTCCCTCCTTCCACAAGTGAGTTTTCTCCTCTACCCCTGAATGATGCTATAGTGTGTCCTGGGGAACAAAAATCTGTTTTTAGTGAGATTAATGCTGTGGTGGAGGCACAGCCACGTAGGTGCGCACTCAGTATGAAGCTCAGCTCTTGTGGAATCCTAGGGTTGAAAGGGAGCTTGGAGGTCTTACTCTTCTCTCTTGCCCAGGGCTCGAATCCTCTAGCCACCCGAGACAAATGGCTGTCCAACCTTGGTTTGAAAACCCTCAATGATGGAGCCCCCATGACTTCAGGAGACAGGCTGTCCCACTGCTTTATGCTCTGTCAGGAACTTCCTCCCTACTCCTTGTTTGGATCTCTCTCTCTCTCAAGCTTCCATCCTTTGGTTCTTGTCCTACCCTTGGGCACTATGGAGAATCCCTCTTCCCTGTGACAGCCCTTCAAGTCTTGGTAGACTGCTATCACATCACCCCTTGGCCTTCTCTTCTTTAGGCTAAACATATCCAGTTCCTTTCACCGTTCTTCATAGGATTTAGCCTCCAAGCACCTCACCATGCTGGCTGGGGAATTCTGGAGTTGAAGTCCGCACATCTTAAAGTTGCCAAGGTTGAGAAACTTGGCTAAACGCTCCCAGTTCTTTTCACTGTTCTTCATAGGCTTTAGTCCCCACGCCCCTCATCATCTCTGCACTCTTTCTAGTTCCTCAGCATCCTCCTTGTATTGTGGAAACCAGAACTGGAGGCAGGGTTCCCAGTGTGGCCTGATCCGTGCAGCAGAGAGCAGAACTCTCACTTCCCTCAGTTTCAGCACTACGTCTGTCAATGCAGACTGATACCTCCAGTCTGTTGATT